TAGGTGGGATGGGGAAGAGGAGGGGGATCGTACCAGATAACAAAACTACGACGGAAAGTCGTGTTATGCAAACCTCCTCGCCTCCCCAGTGGGTGCCCTCTTCCCAGTGTACTACGTGCCCTGGATGATGAAGTGTTTATTGAGTGTTTAACAAGGGGAATCTGCATAAGAGCAGCTTATTCCCCAGAAATAGCGTAAATTGATGAATAAATCAATCCTGAAATTAACCTGAGGAGGTGCAGTTTCATAAATAACGTCCTCTTCATATACTGGAACGACGATTGAATTAGCGATGATGTCACGTAAACGCACTTCATCCATCATCTTTCGTTGAAATTCCACGGGCTGAAAAAACTTAATAAACTTCCAGAAATGACTAAGAGTGTGTTTTGAAGAAATCAGAAAATGAACAAATCAAAACAATAATTTCAAAAAATAGTAATCAATATTAACAGTGGCAATTCTCAATGAAATATGCGTAAGAACAACATGAGAGACCTGCATTAATGCCCGAGTTTTTTCAGAAAATTTCGCAAATAAAAGAACAAATATATGAAAACATAGCATTATAGACAATAATGTGCACCAAGTAACTATTTTGCGACCACTAGTAACATTTGCAAAACTTCTTCCGATGCCGGGAATCGAACCCGGGCCTTGCGGGTGAGAGCCGCAAATCCTAACCACTAGACCACATCGGACTGACGACGAGTGGTCGTAGGAGGCCTTATCAATTACGGCGTCGCGGTGGTTATCTCACATTCTCCATCGCTACAACATGTACCCCTTTGAATTCTTAACCACATACGGATAGAACACTTCAAGTAAAAGGCACTTATATCCTTTATTATACCCCACTTTTCGAATTTCAGCTAGATTCATCGGAACCCCAGACCAGTTTTAGCTATGAAGTCGGAACGAAGATTCAGCCGTTCGCTCCCAAAACCAGATCTGAGTTTTGCTTGGGGTGGCCTAAGCCCTTGAACGCGAGTCTCACACTCGCTTGGCGCGAAAACACCTAGCACCCGCGCCACCTCCGCTGGCGCTAGAACACGTCAATTCATCAAATACAGTGACAACTTGTCCTAGCTGTAATTTTACCCTCTGATCGCTAACTTCGTCGCAACTATGCTCGAGCGCGGGAAAAAGGGGGGCATTTCGCTACTTCTCACTGTCGTAGTGATCGCTTTACAAGCGTTGACAGGTATTCTTTACAAGAGTTGACCAAGTACTCCACAAACATTGACTGGTCCACCTAATAGAGAAAGGACGGAGATTGTTCACGAAAATTTCTTACTAAATGACATCAGACACAACAATGGGAAATAACGAAAGTGCAATAATTAGCTTCCTTCCCGAGCGAACGGCCCCGCAATTTTCTAACGTGACAAAACCGCCTGATGATTGCTGCCCATGTTAGGGAGCAAGCTTACCCACAAATAAAGATTTCGACAGATGTTTTTGAAGCTGTTTATTTATGAATATGTGTTATGTATAATGGTCTATAACATTTTCGACAAAGAATCAGTTAAATTCGAACAGTGGCCGTTCGCTGATTTCGGGGGCAGGCGGGCCCCCGCGTTCAGGGAATTTTACCTATTAAGTGTGAGTATACTCGTAACTTGGAAACTGGTTCACGTACCCAGGGTTATTCTTCGTTTAGGCTTGAACAGAATCTTCTTTACTGCTGCGCTTATCCCATTTTGACCTAAGGAGTCTTTTATATGCCGCCTCTGAGCTGTGAGTGCCCAAAACCATTACTAAATGGCATCTAGCAACAAAAAAGCAAAAAAAAAAAAACTTCAACAAAACGCGTGGGAAACAGCTCGCAGAAAGTCTTTGTGCAGTGTATATTGCAGGCCAAGTTGTGCATTTCCTGGTAGCCGAAGCCAGTTTTGGAAATGCATAACTTGCTCTGTGAAGTAGATTGCTATTGAATGTACATTTCCAAAAAAATCACCCAGTAAAAGCAGAACGAATGGTGAACTAGCCAAAGTCGAAACGTTGATTCCTCACGACGAGCACATGAAACTGTCCTACGATGCTGCACGCAACACGCGCAATATTGAACGGTGCAAGTAGTTGTCGTGTAGGTCATAAAGGCAAAATGGATGTAAGTCAGGAGTTTCTGGCGACTTTATCTCACACTTCCGTTTGACAAAATTGGCACACTACTTGCGACTGCGGACCTGGCTACCAAATGCGCGGAAGTATTCCACGTAGTATTTGATCCCGGGAAGTGCCTTTGAGCGCGACCTCTAGCAGGGTAAATACGCTCGGCAGACTTCCATGCTTCCTGCCCTAGCCAAGGTTTAGCCTTAAAGCATGGAGGGCCAGAGTCGCCGAGGATTAGTCTCGCACAGAAGACATATTCTCCCCAAACTGTGAGCTCAAATTAGGAAAAGGGACACAGTGACACTTTCGAGTAGACCCCTCTCCAACTACGTTGGCGCTACTACCAGCCCACAACTTCAGTCTGGATTCCTTAGCCTTATGAACATTATTCTTACGCTTCAAAGAAACCAGAAAAGGACACTGTCATCGCGTGATTTTACAACCAAAGCGAGTCGCATTAGTCACAACCATAAACATATTTATAACCATGACCATAAACGCATAAATATAGAAGAATTACAAGAACATAAATAGCATCACAAACCTGTCCAGGGGAGTGAACTTGTTTGAAATGGGCTGCTAAAGAACTGTGAGCAATAGCAGGAAATCTGCATATTGCACAGCTAAAAGGAAAATTGTGAAGATGCCTACTCCAGATATGGCTTTCCAAGAGTTCAAGGGTTGCTGAAAGAGATAAAATAAGAACTAGTCAGGGAAATTCACTATCTAGCAAAATGAATTGATAAAAACAAAATGAAAAAGAACGTTCGGGGACTCCTTAAAGTATCCCTCAAGTAAAGACAAAAAATAAAGAGAATTTCTCGAAACAAATTATATCGCGGCGGCTTAGAGACCCACCGGGTAAAAAAAACTCTGAGTGGTACAGAAATACTCAAAAATACTCACGTATTTCAATGGTACACTCCGAACAACGAAATATTACTGGATAAGTAGCCATATTTGAATATTAAGTGATTAAACTACAGCAAACTCATATGGTTCACTGCCGTCAAACTACATGCGGTATGTGTACTCGCAGACCAGGCCAAGAATTCTACGCCATAGGAGGTTCGGCTTAACATTTTTGGCAGGGCACGTCGTTGCT